TTATTGAAATTTTACGCTAAATTAGTTATGCATTTGAAGCAATTGTTTAGCAATTAATTATTGCATTGTATTTGTTAGCCCTTTAAGGCCTTCAATACAATCTCCTTTTAGTAGAAAATGTCAATATTTTTTTATTATATCTGCATTTTAAATGAAATTTCTAATAAATGTTTGTAAATCTTAACAAAATTAAAATAAACTGTTGTTAACGTTATGAAGAAATGCATTGAATTGAATGAAAAGTTTGGGTTTACAGCAATTGATGGAAAACAGGAGTATTTCCACCAAATTTCCTACATTTACATAAAGTTAGCCTTCATTTGATTGAAAGGTGTTTTACTAGTATTGCGTAAAAACAAAGCAATCGTTTGAAAATATATTGTATGTGCACTACAGGTGCCCTCAACTCTCAACCCTTTCTTTGCTATTATGCTATTATTACATAATAAACATGTATAACAAATATTCATACAGTAAGTATTACAACAGTAGTACTGTTACAGTACTCTCTATGGGATGTTATGTCATAACAAGTGATGGCAATAGAGAGCGAACGCAAACACAAGTGATAACGTTTGGCAAACGACTAAAACACTGCATAACTCGGACCCCCAAAAGTCACTTTTTGTATTCCCCCTTCATTTTCAGTTAGAGTGAGTGATTGAATGACAACAACAGACCATTCATTCAGTCATTCATTGGATGTTTAGCTGAATACAAGACTCGACACAAAGCGAGAGCCGATTGACAGCCACTCGACTTACAACATGTCTGACATCGAAGAGTCAAACAGAGACTCAGACAATGAGGTAAAGCTTTTGGCGACCATTGAATGCACGCATTGATGGATGTGTTAACACATTTGTGTCACTCTATAGGCCGAAGAGGTGGACAGAGAAGAGCCAGAAGTGGCCGACGAAGAGGAGCCGGAAGGCGAGGACTTGGATGCGGAGGAAGAGTACTCCGAAGACTCAGATGAGGTGCGCGGCGGCGGTCGACGGCGTGGGAAGCGATCGAAGCCACGTCACGGAGGCTTCATCTTAGACGAGGCGGAAGTGGACGACGAGACCGAAGACGACGAGGAATGGGAAGACGGGGCCGAAGAGATAATGGGAGGCAAACACTTGGAGGACTCGGCCCGCGATGAAGAGGGACACCTAAGGGATCACATGATGTGGAACTCCCAGAAAGAGGACGAGATGGAGGACTATTATCGCCGCAAATACGCCGAGACGTCGGTCGCCGAGAAGGGCTACGACGGCGACGTCGATCTGCCCGACGATATCACACAACAGGCACTGATGCCCGGCGTTAAGGATCCCAACCTATGGATGATTAAGTGCAAGATTGGCGAAGAGAAGGCTACTGTTCTGCAGCTGATGAGGAAGTATATCGCCTTCTCGACCACCGATGAGCCGCTGCCCATCAAGTCTGTGGTCGCGCCCGAAGGTCTGAAGTGTTTTGATCCCAAAAAAGTTAACAAATCGTTTTCTATTGATTGCAATGTTATGTAGGAATCAAAGGCTATATCTATATCGAGGCCTTCAAACAAACTCACGTCAAGCGAGCGATTCAAGGGATGGGAAACTTACGGCTCGGCATTTATAGGCAGACAATGGTTCCCATCAATGAGATGACGGATGTGTTGCGCGTCACGAAACACAACCAACAGATCAAAGTGAACCAATGGGTGCGCCTCAAGAGGGGTCTCTATAAGGACGACTTGGGACGAGTGGATTACGTGGACACCACCCAGAATCAGGTTCACCTGAAGCTCATTCCCCGCATAGACTACACCCGACTGAGGGGTGCGTTGAGCGCCGCGACCAACGAGAACGACAGTCTGAAGCGTAAGCGCCAGAAGCGTCCGCTGCCAAAGCTCTTTGATATGGACGCGATTCGTGCGATCGGTGGCGAAGTGACCACCGATGGAGACTTCATTATCTTCGAGAGCGATCGATACCGTCGCGGCTTTTTGTACAAAGCGTTCGCAACGACTGCGCTGCTGATCGACGGCGTGAAGCCCACGCTCTCCGAGTGGGACAAGTTTGAGGAACACCCGGAAGGCATTGAACTACAGCTCAGCGAGAGTACGATCGCCGAAGACAAGGGCCACAGCTTCTCACCCGGCGATACCGTCGAGGTATGCGAAGGAGAGTTGGCTCACCTCC